GAATCTGGAATTGGATTTGGTTAAGAGGCTTAACCAAATGGAAGCTGGAATTGGATTTGGTTAAGCCTCTTAACCAAATGGAGTCTGGAATTGGATTTGGTTAAGAGGCTTAACCAAATGGAACCTGGAATTGGGTTTGGTTAAGAGGCTTAACCAAATGGAATCTGGAATTGGATTTGTTTAAGAGGCTTAACCAAATGGAATCTGGAATTGGATTTGGTTAAGAGGCTTAACCAAATGGAAGCTGGAATTGGATTTGGTTAAGACTCTTAACCAAATGGAGTCTGGAATTGGATTTGGTTAAGAGGCTTAACCAAATGGAATCTTGAATTGTGTTTGGTTAAGAGGCTTAACCAAATGGAATCTAGAATTGGGTTTGGTTAAGCTTCTTAACCAAATGGAAGCTGGAATTGGATTTGGTTAAGATGCTTAGCCAAATGGAATCTGGAATTGGATTTGGTTAAGATGCCTAAACAAATGAATTATCTTAAAAATATTTTCAAGATATATATATATATCTTAATTACAATTTATTTTAATTAATTATTTTTCTTTTATTATGAAATTTCGTAAGATTGAACCAACACTTAAATCTTAATAAGTTATGAGTTTCTATTAAATAACATTACATTTCATTACTCATAATATATTTAGGCTAACTTCAATTACATATATATATATATACAAGTTTTGATATTAATATATAAGTTTGGGTTATTATTATTTTTTATCTGAATATTGTTTCAAACCAACTTCAAAAACATCAACATATATATTCTATATTATCCAAATATGCATTTATGTTTGCTTCATTAAAGCTAGGTGTTTCTATCTGTTTCTTTGCTTGCCAATCCACTATACATTAGTTTTTATTTTTTAAAAAAATACAAATACAATGGATTTCCTGCAGGCATTTGCCAGTTCAATTTACCATGGTGATGATAACTGATCACTTCACATGTAAATATGATGGAACAAAATGCTTTGTGTTGGCATTCTCCAATGGATGGTACCAGTGGCACTTTGGTTGCATGTAAACACAAACATTGACTATGTTTCTTCTCACATAATGTTTTTGGTTTGAAGTCCAAGGTACAAACCACCTCAACCCCCTCCAGACCATCAATTTAGCATGTGGGTCCCAGTTCCCTATGCTCAAAGGCCCAGGACAAGGTTGGTTTGCCAACTGGTAGACCAAGAGTGCATCCATGACAGGAGCTTGGGCCAGCTGTGCATGTCATTCTCCATGAACATTTTGGAAGCAACATTGCAATTTCCATTTTAGATTTGAATATCAGCACTTTGTGCTTGTAGATACAAGCAGTTGGTCCTTATGTTTGAAATGTGCTTCTTTCATACCAGCACTTGGTACTTATAACTTTGAATATAATTTTTGTGCTCTCAGAACATATGTCAGGATCTCCATAGAGGACCTCACCCAGCTGCTCTTGTACAAAGACTATGAAGCCATGCAGCCACACATTGACTATTGGTTTGGCTAAAATACCAGAAGCCAAGACCATGTGCAAATCAACTTTGGAGAAACAAACCATGCAGCCTGACCAGTACTGCAGTTGCAGCAGCACCAAGTGCTTGAGGGATTAACCACCTATTGACTTTGAGTGCATCGCATTGTGGGCCAGGGTGACCATAGCTAATGCTGGCCTGCAATGGTACAATGGCCAAAGGTACTGGGTGGTGGAATTCACCAATGGATGGCTCCAGTGGCATCTTAACTGCATTAAGCACATCAACCATGCACCCATGGTGTGCAAGTTATTGCAAAATTTCCCAATTAGTTGTGGCACCATACAAAACACCAAGGTATGAGCCACCAATGGGACCAGCTTTGCTGATGTTCTCCCAATGGAGTGATGACGGTGGCCAGAGAGAAGTGGCCATGCTCAAAAACAACCAGGCCACCTACTATAGGACTGTTGGCAACCATGTGCTGTTGAATCATCATCTATGCATTTTCATGTGTGTTTTTTTTGTTTGGGCTAGCACCTGGTGCTTTTGATCTTGTGTTGCTGTGGCATGACTTTTGTTTTCATGGCTAGATTTTATGCCAGGATCTCCAGGGATGGTTTAGCAGAGTTGCTCCTCTACCATGACTACCAGGAGACTCAGTATGAGGTGGACTACTGGTTTGGCACCCATTGCCGCTGGCCAAACCCCTTCAACTTCAGCTGGTGCTGCTAAGGGCACCATGTTCAGCCAAAGTGCTGAACCACCCAAGCCAACCAGAGCTAGATACCAGCCAAGGGAGAAAACATCTTGCAGTGCAGATTTAGCAAGTTGTTTCTTTACATGTGCCAAGACAAGCACACAGTGCTTTAACATCCAAGTTCTTTTTGTCTTGATGCCACAGTTGCAGCACACAGTGCTTACACCATTGCAGATGACCATTGAGTTAATGAAATTGCAGCATTTGTCTTCAAAAAAACCTTTCTGGCATTGCGCTGTGTGCACCACCTTAGCCATGTTCAGTGTCACAACTTTGTTGGCAGAATTGAAAGCCAATGAGCAGCTCCTGGAAGCCAGGAATATGGATGATCAGCTTGTCCAAGGCCTGACCCAGCAAGCCACCTACAAGCTTTCCAAGATGAATGGACTGACCAGCCCAGATGCTGTCATGTTGCTGAATCACATCAAGCCATCCAAGCTTCCAACAAACATGAAGGATGCCATCATCAAAGAGGTGGACAAATTGATGGTGAATGCCAATGGAAACATTGCTTGCAAGGTCACCACTGCAGCCAGTGCCTGTGACCACCTCAACAAATATTTAACTAAGGAAGATTGGTCCCAGTTGGAATCCACCAATTCATGGGAAGGAGCCATTGTGTTGGCCAAAAGGCTGAAGTCCATGGGTGTCAAGAGCATCAAAGAGACCACCAAGAGGGCAGCTATTGCCATTTTGCTGTGCATCCAACAGCAGCAAGGGTGCAAGAAGTTGCCACCATACCATGCTATTTACAATTTGGTGGAGCACTTGAGCCAAGCTGTGGCCAACCGGCCAGGTGCTCCATATAGTGTTCCATGCCTCCAAGTTTACCCAGAAGACCCACAGTCCCTGGGCCAGGAGGTGCTCCAATTGGTTTACCAAGACAAGAAGCCTGAGGCCAGGTACTTTGACCAGATGGCTTTGACCATGGCCCACCACATTCCAGTGAGGTGCACCAGCAAGCTCCTCCAAGGAGCCAATAGGACAACCCTTGTGCAGCCAGCCACACATGGCAATGCACCAACACATGCCTTGCAGCCAAATGCATTTCCATTGAATTTGCACCAGTGGAATAACCAGCAAGGCCACCAGGAGCTAAGCTATTGGAGCCAGCCATGCAATAGCCAAGCTTTGCCTTTGCAATGCAATGCACCAGAATGCCAGCAAGTGCCAAGCCAAGGGGCTCAGCACCCCAATGGCCAAGCTTTGTCTCTACAGAGCCAGCAAGCTGCATCCCAGAGCCAGCAAGCTACACCCCAAGTGGCTGCACCATCAGAAGCAATTGTGCCTGTGCAAGCACCAGACAATCTGAACCAAGAGGCTGCCAAAAAACAAGAATGGAAAGGCTACCAAGACACTGGACCAGTGGAACCAACAAGCTTTCAATGCCATGTTAGAAAAGCAGCAACCCCAGAAGATGAAAAGACCTGCAGCTGCCAAGGCTGCCAAGGTTACCAAGGCCAAGGGTGCCAACAAAGAGAAGAAGCCAAATGCCAAGGCCAATGCCACTTCCAAAGGCAAAGGGCCATATGGTTGCACCAGGTGCAGAGGCAACTTGAAAGGTTGTGCCACCTGCAGAAAGCCAGGTTTCAAAGGTTTGAAGGTCCATGGCAGAGAGGCTTGGTACCGGATGTGCCCAAATGCCAAGTAGCCATGGACCAATGTGGCCACATGTATGGACCAACACTGCCAAGGTGCAATGTAATTCATTCATGCTGACCCAGCTGCAAAAAGCCAGCAATGAATGCTTTGGGTTTGCCACATGGGTTGCCATGTGAAGCTAATTGACCAGCAACTTCCAGCTTCAATGTCATGCAGGAAAAGAATGCATGCTGCTTCTTGTTTGTGCATCCAATGCAAGCATGTAAGTAGCATTCAGTGCTTTAACAAGATCATTTTGCAAAGCAGCACACAGTGCTTTACCACAGTCATATTTCTTTGCACAGGGATGCTGGTCCACCTATATGTATTCATGCTGCTTTTTCTTTATATGCAGACAGAAAAGAAAGTATCACAGAGCCACAGACCAACCAACAATGTTGTAATTTAGCAAGAATCAAACATGAACCATTTCACTTACCTTAGCCCCAAGTTGTTTCAAGGAATTGCTTCCATTTGCTAAACAGCAAAGCCATGGCTCCCTCTTCTTCAAGCAGGCCTGCCAAGCTTCAAAAGCTCAATGACTTGAGAAGGTCATGCCCATTTGTGACCCAAGCATCCTTGCTGCAAAAGATCCACCAAGAAGGGTTACCTGATATAAGGCATGCCAAAGCTATGAAAGAAGCCACCAGGCTCCAGTTGTCTTCCATGAATGCCTATGGACCATTGCTGTTGGAGACCAATGTGGTGACCACAGATGGAACCCTGATACCAATTTGGACAGTGAATTTTTTGAGCTTGCTGGTTGGAGCCTACCAGCTCCAAGGCTCATGGGCCAATTTTTCCCACAAAGCCCATACAGAGAACCCAAGCAGTCCAGAGAAACCATGGTCTTTGCTGCTTTATTCAGATGAAGTGGTTCCAGGTAATCCATTGGCATCCAGGATAAACCGCAAGGTTTATGCCATATATCATATATGGATCATTTGCCCAACACAAAACCAAGCTCCAATGCGAAGATGCTTGGTTCATTTTAGCCATATTGCCATCCATTATAGTGGCTGAACTGGAAGCAAGCATTGGCCAAGTCTTTGCCAAGCTCATTGAAGCAATATTCTTGGGGCCAGCTTGTGATCCAAGGAATGGCTTGTGCATGCCACACCCAGTAACCTCCATGGATGTCATGCTGTACTTTGATTTGTGTGGCTTTGTCCAAGATGGCTTAGCCATGAAGCAAACCTTCAATATCAAGGGGGCTTCTGGTGACAAGTTTTGCATGTTGTGCAGCAACATCAGGGCCATTTCTTTGGTTTTGCCACCAGGTACACCAGAGGAAGATATACCAGGGTCTCATGTGACCAAGCTTGCAGATTGCATCCTGTCCACTGACCAAGAAGTTTTGGATGCATTCCAGGTTTGCAAGGACAAGTGCACCACATTATCCAAGAAACATTTTGAAATGTGGGAGAAAGCATCTGGCATCACCTTCAACCACCATGCCCTTTTGCTCAACCAGACCCTCTTGGATAGCAATCTCTTGAAGCCAATTAGTGGCTACATCCATGACTGGATGCACACCATGGCTTCCCAAGGAGTGATCCAAAGGTCCATTTGGTTGCTGCTTTCCCAGCTGGACATGTGGGACCAGCTGGAGCCATTTCTCCAGTTGTAGACTTTGCCAAAAGCCATGGCCAAAGCGGGAAACTTGCATGATTTGTTCCAAACCAAGAGGATCAAATTTTACAAGGAAAATTCCAAGTTCAAATGCACAGCATCAGAAGCCATTGGCCTCTCCACCCTGCTGGCATACCTGGTAAACACCATTTGTGTGCCAGCTGCTGCCCATTTGGACCAATGCCACAGCTTTTTGGCCATGGTGGAAGTCTTGGAGATGCTGCAAGCCACCCAGCTTGGCCAAGTGCAGCCACCCAGGTTGCAGCAAGCCATTGAAGAGGCCTTGGACTCCTTCAAGATTGCAATGGCGAAGCCATGATGCTGAGGAAGCATCACTGGATGCTCCATCTGGCAACCCATTTGCAAGTATGGGGCTTTCTTCCCAACTGTTTCAGCCTTGAAAGAAAGCACAAAACCATCATGAAGTTTGGCAACCAGACCAAGAAGTTGACAGGATTCAGCCTCAGCCTGCTGGAGGAATGCCTAGCCCATGACTTGTACAACTTGCAGCATTCAGACAATTTGGAAGCAGGGGTGCAATTGTTGAACAAGCATGCTCCCAATTCAAAATTTCATGCTTTTCTTTGTGAAGCAATTTTCAATCAGAAAATTCCAAAGGACCAGGTTTGGACTGCAACTTCAGCCAAGTTGTGCTTCCATCCACAACAAGGATTTTGTTCTTGTCAGCAGCACCAATGCCTATAAATGGCAAGTTGCCAGAATGGAACACCACTTTGAAGTCCAAGGGGTTGTGTACTCCATTGTGACTTTTTGCACATGCATAGAATATTTTTATTCCAGCCATTCAGCACAAGTCCAAATTCAGGATCAGCTGCAGCTGATAGAAACTTCTGCCATCCTTTGCCCTCTCATTTATGCAGAGGAAGAAAGAGCCACCAGGGTTCTCATTCCATGGGCCTACAGACCATCCAAAGACTAGATGCCATACATGCAGGAAAATCAATGCTTCCCAGGTGCACAGTGTTCAGCATTGTCTTTTGGTTGTGGCATGGGGGAGTTGCTTGGAGCTTGTAGCACACAGTGCTTTCATATTTTCATGTTACAGATGAAGCTTCACAAAATCAATGTTTTGTATGCAATGTTATAGCACCAAGCCAGCACTGTGTGCTTTCCAAAACCATTCCAACCACCAGCACTGACAGCCATGGGATGTGTTTTGCAACCAGCAGCACCCCAAGAGCTAGCAGAGCAGGTGCCAGAGCATGGAGCACCAAACCAAGGTGAATGGATGGGTGAGGATGCATGGGGGCGCCCCATAGCCTTCCATAGGCCAGGGCCACCAGCAGCCATAGACTTGTCCAAGTGTGAGCCAAGGAGCAACCTATGGGCACAACACTGTAGTGCCATGGGGTGCCCATCATGGATATGGTGCAGCAAAACCAATGAAAGAGCCACATGCACCCATTGTGGCAGACCATGGATTCGATCCTTCATTGATAATGGCCCACATTTTTGTGGGGAATGGCCTCCACCTGCAGACCACCATGAGCAAGGAGGCTATGACCAAGCACCAGACCAAGGGCACCAGGACCAAAGGAATTGGTGACCATGCCATGGAGAAGGACCATGCAGTACCAATATGAGTGGCCACATCTATACAGTGACCATTGCCAAAGGCAGCAATGTCTTGGCAAGTGAAAAAAAAGTCTGCAGTTTCCTGACCAGTTGTGTTTCTAAGTTACCACAGCATCTTCTCCATGCGCATTGCTTTGAAAGCACCAATTTTAGCACCCAGTGCTTTTGGCATGCCACCTGGATAGCTTCTATTTTAGCACCCAGTGCTTTTGGCTTAGCACCCATTGCTTTTCATACATGCAAGCCATGCATGCTTCATGGACATGTTGCTTGTGGCATAGCACTCAGTGCTTTTGGCATGACATATTTGCTTCCCATTTGCTTTTGTGCACCAACTTTTCTTCCATTGAGATGCAATCACACCATGGGCAATGAGCTGAGTGAATGGCTTTTGCATGGAAATCCAAAGCAGATTTCCATGTTGTACATACAACCAAACCCAATGGATTTGTTATATGTTGTTGCCAGGATAATCATTACAGCCACCAAATGCAAAAATCATGCTCCATATTCTTGCCAGGATAATCATTATAGCCATCAAATGCAGAAAATCATGCATCATTCTGATGAAATGTGTTATTTTATTTTCTTTCTTCAAGAACTTTTTGTTCCCACCAAAACACTATATGTTAAAGGATTCCAGTGAACGAAATTGAACCTTAGCAGATACTTAGCACATGCTTAGCTAAGTGAGCTAACCAAGCTAAGTACCTAGCAAGGAACCGTCCTTCTCAAGCGCCTGCGCCGCGGGTGAAGCGCGGTTGGTTGAACTGCGCAGACACACTGCAGCCAACGACCAAAATCGTACAGCTGGTCGTGGAAAAATGAAAATACACTTGAGTGCGCTTGGGTTACGATGGCACAATATACCATGGTGGAAGCATGGGGAAGCCAAGTATAAACCCCTTTGCTGCATTGAAATATTGTTTACAACACGCTATGGTCCCAAATTCATTTCAGCCAATAGGCGGTGTGCAAACGTACGGTTTGCTGCGAATCTGATGAAGTTGGGATGGTTTGCAAGTCAACATTTGTAATTGCAAATGTGTTGTTTTCTCATGCCGATATCCCCAAATGGTAAAATTATTTAAAAATATATGATGAACTTTGCGATGGTTCATCATTTTTTTGCCGCATAAGTTTCTTGGATAGCTCCAACTAGCCTCCGCGAACTATAGCTATATGGAAGCCATGGCCCATTGAGACCACTTCAACATGGTGGTCTTTTCCTCTCCGTCCGACATTACCAGGCCTTCCAGCCTATGAGGATTTCAAGAAGCAGCAGTCCCACAAAGGCCGCGGATGGTCGGTCCAGCAAGCAATAGCTGGGACGTACCGCGGATGTTTTTACTGGGAAAAAACGGTGGATTCTGCTGTGCATGCTTCCCTTTCACCAGATAAGTGGGAAATATCAAACCAGATCAGTGAGAAATGTGATGCTGCAGTCTGCTGCAGGGCAGTTTCGTTCTATTTTCATCTATTTTCTATCTCCCAAGAAAAGTAGGATGATTATCTTGAGGCTGCTCTGGCTGCTCAGCATTTGTAATGTACTTTTCAGACATTTTAGGGTTGACACATCCAGTCGTCCTCATCCTCGTCATCATGCTAGTTGGTGGTGGTTGTCGTTGTTCTTCAGCTTGTTCTTCTTGTTTTTTTCGTTGTTCAACTGCTGCTGTTTTTTTCCGCTGCAGTTGCTGCTGTTCTTTGTTGCTTTTGTATGCTTTTGTGTAATGGGTCACACATGGGGCGTGGCATAAAAGGTCTAAGAAACCAATTGAACAACCTCACGAGTCGTGACTTGGCCTGCGAGACGGGTGGGAACTTGACTTACCATGACTTACCCTTCCATCAACTCGATGTGGAAAATTATGGAAAACCCATCCTTTGTAACACTGTAGATAACATGTAGATCATGTTCCGAATGGGAAACCATGGTTTTTCCACATGTTTTTGTATGTTTACCATGCAGTTGGATCACATATTCGTCGTAGTCGTGTGTTTGCAGCTGGATATGTGTTTTGATCTCGTAGTTGGTGTAGATGTGATTGGATAACATTGTCAAATATGTGAAATTGTATCTACAATATGTAATGACGGATGCATAGATACTGTAGATGAATATATTCATATTTTTAGATATAGATATAGATATATGTGTGTGTATGCATATGTGAATGTTTTGCATGGTGAACATTGATCGCACTTTTCTCATTGGCATGTCTTGGCTATGAAAGCTTACAACCTCTTATCCAGGCAAGTCGTTTGGCCTTTGGAGCCTTCGGAATGACATAAACATATAGAAACCCAATTGGATATGGGAAGACATTGAAACTTCCCAAAGCTAAGGGCAAACCATTTCTGAAATCCATCATGGATTTTCTGTAAACTGTATCCTTATATGGCTATCCTAGCCGCATTGCTTCAGATTGGCAGCTCAGGGAAGCTGGAAGACATGAAGGAGATGCACGTGGAAGATGTGACGTGCCCCTGCTGATGTTGGGGTTTGGGGCGGCATGAAATTATGGGGCCTCACAAGTTCCTTGAATCTGCCTATGGAAGGTGCATTTTTGGCACAGGGAGGAGCAAACTCAATATTATACTGGTTGGTGGTTTGGAACATGATTTTTATTTTTCCATTCAGTTGGGAATGGTCACCCCAACCGACTTTCCTATTTTTCAGAGGGGTAGGTATTCCAGTATTCCACCAACCATATATATTATATGCCCTATTCTGCATCGAAAAATCCAAAAACGTGCACGTGTTTCTTTGCGATTCGCACGTTGGGGGGTGATTCTGCTTGTCGCTGAGGATTTGTGCTTGTATTTTTTTGGCTTCTTTCTTATGCCCCACTGGGTAGGTTTTCGCACAGTCATGGAAATTGATGTTGATTTGGAATAGAAAATCATTCAATGGGAATTTCAGGATCCTAAAATGGAGGTACTGTACCATATAAGGCCATATTTTGCTGGGATATTCCCTTACATAAGCCTTGAAATGGCCATTGAATAATAGACATATCATCTAGACGACAGGAAATTTTAGAGTTCCCTGGATCCCCACGACTTGAATGATTAAGCTACTATAAGCTACTACTCTGGCATTTGCCACCCATGGTCACATAGGAAATGCAATGTAAATAAATCTGCATAAATTAAATGTTTTGTGTTCTTCACATATAGCCAACACATAGCATTGATTTCGAGTTGATGCTGAAGTGGATTTCAAATGTACACTCAAATCATACTTCGAAACTAGGTGCAACCTAGGAGGAGCTTGCATGAACCTTGAAAGAAACACGTAGGTACTCAGAACTCAATCACTTGTTTTGTTTGGGGAAGACTTCAGCCTATCCCGCAGCTGCAGGGATAAGAGTTGGCAGTGGTGCCTCGTTCGATTCGCAGCTTCGGGATGAGATTCGCCATTTTTTCACCACCCAAAGTTGTGACTTCAGCAGGGTCACCATAGCCAACATTAGTCAACTGCTGGTCATGGGCTTGTGAGTTACACAAGATCGTCAAGTAATGTCAAGTAATGTCAAGTAATGTCAAGTAATGTCAAGTAATGTCAAGTACCTTAAGTACCTTACATATAGTAGTCCCTATGGATCCAAACACTGTCTAAGAAGGTACTTGGATCCATAGGGAGTAATGTTACTAATGGTACCTTAGCCCCTGAGAGTTGGAATTTCTGGTGGGTCGCGAATCCCAAGAGGTGCTCCAAAAGTGAATCGAATCGGGGCGTTTGTTGCGAGCAACATGCAACGTGAACCAGGGCAGTGCAAGATCATTTTGCTATTTATTGTATATATACATGTGTTTATATATATATATATATGATTTTATATATCTTTATATGTATATATTTATATATATATATATATGTTTATGTATATATATATATGAATATACGGCTATACTTTTGGGGCGCACTGGTTTGTGCATAAAGTGGCAGGCCTTGAAACATCTTGAAACCACAGAATGGGGTCAATGCGAGCAGGAATGCAAATTGTTCATGTTTGGGTACCCCACCAGTTGGCACAGAAGAATTTAGCTTGAGAATCCGCATGTCCGAGAATGAGTTTGAGGGAACTTCGCAACAAGACACAGGTTTGTTGCAATTTGTCCTTTAAGATCTTTAAGCTAACCCAGTGAATCAATGTATCCAATAATCGGCCTCCATGGATTTTTGGTGACATCTCCCAAAATTTGTCAATCTCCAATATCTTCAATCTTCGGAAGGCTACATCCTCATGCCCAAATGAAGCGCTGTCGAGAAAAAAATGGCATCATATATATAAATATATCATCGTTATATAAGATAAGCTATAGTTATACCTATATATTTATAACTATAGTTATACCATAAATATTTCTAGAAATATAGCATCATATATATAAATATAGTTATGGTGGTTACATAAGCAACTGATATTTCCCATGGCTGGTGCCATGGTTGCCGTTTTAAAAACCCGAGGCTGGTCCAGATCTTCGCCCGCCACGCCCTGCGCTACGCCTTCAAGTGGAAGATGGCGTCCTTGGAACCGGCCACTGGGAAAATGCCACCGTTTCAGAAACGACGATTTCTTCGGAAAGCCATGGGGAAAACGGATGAAAACGGCCCCAGGGTAGATGAAATCTATAGGATTTAGGGAAAACGGCCCCAGAATTTGCGAACTGGAAAATGGACCATGTATAGATATGTATAGATGATTTACCTATATCTAAAATGGCGATGTTCCATAGTGATGTGGAATTACCAGAGTGTAACCAATGAAGATCCAGGAAAACATCCCGAAAACGGGAAACGTCAGGACCTGATTTTCACCAGGCAAAAACATGGGAACCATCAATGATAGGATAATGAATTGAGGCTCCTCATCCCGAACCCCCATTCTCCATCTTTAATATTTTCCTTGTGGTACAAGCCATGGTTCAAATGGAAATTGCTTGGTCGTTGATCGAGCACCATGGCAAAAAATCCAAGCAGCATTGGTGCTTATCACCCCACACTAGAAGTTTTTACTGTAAGTGTTTTTTGGTTGATGATTGATGATGAAACAAACATGAACCTCCCAGTTTGGGGCGTGGTTGTCTCCCCAAAAAAACAAACCACTGAAATGACCAGAGTGGCCTAGAAAAATGTCGTTTTCATCCGTTTTCCTTTCAAGGTCGGAAAGAGTCCCCTGAAGATTGGCTGATTTTTTGTTGACCCTCCGGCTATGAAACATGGCTAGCTGGATCTAGCTGGGAAATCCAGGATCTGTCGGAAAAAAAAAAAACCTAAATCGCTGGCAACCGCCAGGATTTTCGATGTTTGTTTGGTTACCAGAAGGCAACCACCATTCTATTTTGGCTAGTAAGTTGGTTTATAGATTTATAGAATGTGATTTAAAAAAAAAACATCATGTATGGCTAGTTCGATATACCTCCCGCCGTTGGTTGCTGTGAGGGAGCCTTCCAATACATCACGCAAGACGAGTTCCGCGCCGATGCCTCTGTCGCCCCCTGGTTGAGGGTAGAGCCCTCTGGTAATTTAACCGTTCGCCATGGAAAACCCACCCATTTTATAGCTAGGTAACCCATCTATTTCTATGGACCATCTATACCATGGCGAACTGCTAGTCATAACCAGAGGGTACAACATAGTATCAAAGTATTCAACCATGTTTTTTTTGGATTTAACTATTAAGAATTTGGATTTAACCATTCCGAGTGGGGATTTAACCATGCCAGAATTGACTGCCAGAAAATAATGCCATTAAACATTGTAATTTAGCATCAAACTTTGCAATTGATTTGTTTGATTTATGACAGCTAAATTTGTGAATAGAACTAGTTTAGCTAGGCAATGGTTTAGACATATCGAACTCCAAACTAGTTAACGGGTGTCTATATATACTTCCAACATATTCCAACAAACAGAACTGGGGGTGGGCACCACTTTTCAACAAAAACGGACCAGATTCATCCAGATTCTGCATGTTCGTGGGTGCGAATGATAGAAAGACAGAAGATACTTGTGCAAAGCATCAAGTTCTATACAGGCAGCTATGATCAAGACAACCAAATGCACCTTACAACATCGAGTTGCATATGTCCTGCATTTAGCTGGGATCAAAGACATGAATTTGGAGCTATAGTCTAAACGGCCAACCATGACTGAGGCAGTCACTGAGTTCGTGCTTCTGCCTCACGAGCAGCAACGCGGTTGGGGTGCATGCTGGGATGCAGCGATAGATATTATTTGGATAGCCTCGATCAAAAGGTTGACAATTTAATGGACATCATGCGTGTGTGTATGTGTAAGAAGATCCTTAGCTTTGGCTGGATATTGATCTGGGCATGGTTTCGGGATATGCCCTTTGGGTTCTTTAATATGGCGGTGGCACATTGTGGTCGTTTTTTTGCTGGCGTGGAACATCCGGTTACTCCCATCTGGACCAGAAATTCCATGCCAAGCAGTTCCTCAGAGTTTATGGCCCTTGACCCTTGGGCGATGGTTGGTAGAGGAAATCATCCCAAACATGACTTAAACATGACCCATATTTCCAGATTCGACCGGATCACGAACGCGCAGATTCGTTACGCAGTCTCCCTCAGGCACATCTTCATTTTTCTGATGACATCTTCAAGATTCACCTGTGCCTTCTTGGCCAATTACAAACTTTCACGTTTGGCCGCTTGGTTCCCAGTTTATCTGGTGTGGTAGACAAAGGCCACAAATCACCCAGGTGTGCAAATTGCACCAAGACAGTGGACACCATCCAATCCATCCATTTGAGGGCATAGCTCAGCACATGCCAACACCATAAATCTGGATGAATTATGATATATAATGATATATCACCCTGAAATGGCCGCAAGTTTCAGCTGTTTTCAGGTTAGTGATGGTTAGTGAGTTATGACAACATTCAACCAGATTCATATAATGCTATTGGCCTTCGGTGCCTGATGACACAGAGACCATGTAGCTCTGTGGCCAAGTTTCCGGACAGCCTAGAGATGTCTAGAGTCATGAACATCAATTTATTTATCTAAGGGGTCATGAACATCAACTTATGTATCAGCTATTTTGCGGAAGACGCCAGGGCACAAGAATTGCATCCAGTGGGCATCAGCACCCAATATGCCATGCTCCCCTCAGGAACGGTTCACTTCATTTGCAGTGGTCCTGCTCTCATCTGTTGCAATGATCGTGGTGGTTTTCCACTGGTTGGGATACTTTGGAGGCTGAAAGCGACGGATGTGGGTGAGGCTTCGTCAAGAGAGTGTGGGTGGAAGCTCATCAAGGTGTTGGGCGTGGCAACCAACTGGTTTATATATATATATTCAGTACAAAATCAAACACAGTCTCCAAATTTTCAAAACTACTCCAATTTCATAGCCGTTGAATTTCTCAAATGTCAAAATTGGCCCAATGCTAACACGGCAGGGAAATAGGCAGGCCGAACTATCATCAACTATCCATATTCACAAAGCCCGTTCATTGAACCAAGGCCTCCGTAGGTAATTGGTTAGATCCACCAATATGTCCTTCATATTTCCTGGCTGTTTCCTGCACCAGGTCACACCGCTGGCGCGGACGTGCCTTCCGAGTCGCTTTTTAAGGAGATGTTGGAGTGGGCGGTTGCAGCAAACCTCTGGTTGAAAAAATGGGAATGGAATGAGAACATGGGGCCAATGGGTATTCAACAAGCCAAAAAGATCGCGATTTAATCATTAAACAGTTATGGTTCATGGGAGATTGGTGGGATATACATAAATATGCTCCCGTAAAAAATCACAGTTTGCCATGGAAAATTCCACCATTGGCTTATCCATCAACTTGATGGATTCATCATCTATACATGGGCAATGAACAGAGGCTAACCACAAAATTCTTGCGCCAAAAAAAAAAGCGGCACTTAAATCGGGACTAAACCACCAACATGTAGAAAAATATATCAATATTCAGGTTGGAAAAAATAGTGATTTGACCGACAACGAGTATTTCAGCGGCGAAGATTGGGGATTTACACGCGCAAGTAGCGGATTCAACCAACAACACCTAGGGTCCTCAAAGACATAGGGTCCTAAACAGAAGAGCTTGCCCAGGAAGTTCTGCATAATGTTTACCTCAAAATATTCAGGTTGCAGATGTGTTATGCTTTGATGTTGCTATATGGTCTGGACTCAGGTCAAAAGTTCATGTTAACTGTTATAGGCATAGTTGTGACTAAAGACTGGTTGGTTTCATATCACCACTGGGCCACTGGGTGCTAAAGAAACGACAGCCGACAGCTGCGGACCGTGGCTGACTCCAATACGCTCACAGGTCACTGGGTCACATGACATGTCATGGTACAATGTAATAAGAAGTCGATCAATTGTGTCATCAAACTTCCGTTGCCAATATTTGCCATATGTCACTTTTGTAGCCGTTTGTCGTAGCCATTTTTCGTAGCCATATACATATCATATTACCCAAGTATAGATAGCAAGCTGATGATTTGCAGATCGTTGCTTTGAGGTGCCAGAATTCGGGCAGGGGTTCAACAGTCCAGCCACTTGGCATCGCATTTGCCATCGCATTTGCCTTAGGGGCTGTGCATTTTTTGTGTCATTGTGCCATTCCCATTTGTCGATGTATAAATGTTTTTTAATTTGTATATATATATATTATATATAATATTATGTAATTTAATATAATAATGTAATGTAATATAATATAATATAAAAGAATATAAGAGAATATAGGTAGTTTTTTTTAATTTGTGGATCAACCTTCAAAATACGGCACCATAATCAATTGAGGCTGCAGCAAGAAGCTCAGCTCATTCCATCTCAGCTGGCACTGCACAGCCGGTGACATTTTGAAAAGTTTGGGATGAGTGGTTCAGGACTCAGCCACCAACCACGAGCAACAATCAATTTTTGTCAAGTAATGTTTGATATGTTTTTGCAGAGCACTGTTCCATACTAGTTCAAACCACACACAACATCTTATGCCCGTCAGTTCTGGAGTTTTCCTTTGAATTGTGATTAATTGGCAACTGTGTATTTGAATTTGTACCAGTCATGTTTGAGAACAAAAACATAATATCTATCATATTCTCAAATCCCACAACTGGTTAGAGTTAGAAGTTAACAGCCATTAGTCTTAACCCCAGCGAACATAACAGCATGTTTATACATCATAAAATAGTAAGTTGTCTTAGCCATTCCATCGATATTATATAGGAATATTACGTTTAACATGTTGTAACCGCACTAGTTTTAACATGTTATAACACATTAACATCTATAACCAAAGAACAGTTTTGCTTATATAATATCAGATCAATCACACATTTAACATTCAATATCACATACTACTCATCATTTAAGTTGCCATGATGGAAACGGTTGCCATGCCCCAAGAACTTTACCCTTCAGCAGTCGCTGGCCCGCCCTTAGCTCCACTGAGGTTCTTTGAGGAACTCTTCGTCTCCTTCGGCATTTACTTCTTCAACGAGCTTTTGCTGGCGGCAACTGGGCTAGAGACGACGTGGAACTGGGTGGAAATGGCAACCAAGAAATGGTGATTGCTTATGCGATTTCATGGGAATTTATGGGTTTTCTTGGGCTTCGGCTTCAACCATGCTTTAATGAACTTTATGGTGGCGGTCTGGGACTTTATGATATTTATGGGATTTAATCGGATTTGATGATTTCTGTTTGTTTCAGCTTTCAACGGCAATGATGGGAATTCCACAAAAATGTTGGTTCATTCTGTCGATGACTTTTTGGAGGTTAGCCAAGAATGTATTGTTTTTTTTGAGGGTGAGGTGGTTTGTGAGTTTCCTGGTTTATTTTGACTTGTTGGAGGGGCAACGCGTTTTTGGAGGGTTGTTTGTGCAAGCTTGTAGGTATTCGAAAAAGCTCTCAAGATATAGGGAGCCTGGAAAACAATGCGAAATCACTGGAATAAAGGTGAATGTACAATGGAATCATCCGCAAATAGCCTTCTTTCAGCCATGCTTCGAACGGATTTGTTTATAATTCATTGTTCAGCCAGATATGTTTTTTCAGGACCTGTTCTTCAGCAAGGCTCAGCTCAGGTCGCGGTAAGAATCCGAGGGGGCCGATTCTTACTCTCCAAAGCGATCGTGTACGATGAGTGGTCTTGGTCTCCGATTTGTCGACTTGGCTCCATGGCTTGGGCTTGGGTTTGGACCTGGACAAACCTGATTGGAAGCAAGGGTGCTGATGCTGCCAGGGTGCTGCAGAGTTTGTTTTTCACATTAAGAGTCAGTGGAAAGAGGGAGAAAACTGGCTTAACATAAGCTGAATGATTCCCAGACTTGCGCATCTCAATAGTGTCCAAGCCAACGTTTTAATGCCCATAGACATAGGATCCATGGTATAGTGATATGAAATTAATTACCATAAATATACGATGCCTTACTTTGTATACCATGTGTATATATATATATACCAATAGTAGACAGCATCCTATAGTTGGTTGGTGGTGGCGGTAAATGTGAAAGTAATATGCGATAGAGAGCATTGGCGTGGATCGCATTGGAAGCAGGCGCCAACTACTAACCTTTGGCCACCAGCACCGGCCAGGGTTTGTACAGGCAAAAGGGGGGCCAAAACTGCAGCCAAGTCACTGCAGTCAATTCACTTTCACAGATTCAAGCTCAGCTTCTAATTTAGATTTGCATTGCACAAGAATCAAGGAACCAGTAATCAGTAAGTATTGCTGACCATGACTAGTCAACTTCCGGGGACCACTGAAAGATCTTTTCCATTTGGATACCATGGAAGGTGGTGCCGCTCAGTTATGATATGTTATGATATACGGACCACACCCAGTCAACATCGAAAAAATGCGCCAAGCTGTCGCGATTTGGCTGTGGCACCTCCTGGGCCGGTGCTTCGCCAAGGTGTGTATGTGATTTTCATGTTCCTGCTATATCTGTGCAGCGTGCCCCTTGGCGGAGGCTTTTCCAAGAAAGGCCATGGTTCAACACCCAAAGATCATTTTTCAGGGGGAACGTAATGATAATCCATGGGATCTTGGGGATTTGAGACTAATACAATATAATACATATATCATATATATATAGAGAGAGAGAGATGTACCATTTCTTCTTGTTGGAAGGACCTCCATGTTTGGGTGTAATTATAACTTTGGAAACCAAACAGTCAAAACCACAATGGCAATGCAACATCCCCATTTGTGAACATTGCTATAGGGTCCCCCCCATGTTCCATTGCCAGCTGCGCGGCTGTGTCATGGTGTGTCGGAAAATAGGGTATACCGGTATACCCTCCAAATAGGCCATGTTAATATGGAAACCGATGATCTTCCATGGGATTTTGGTCTGGTTTTTTTGCCTTTCCGGCAGACTTTTGGTGGAAGATCACCCCGGGAGCCAACTGGTTCGTAAATGGGGTTACCAATCAGTTCGGGGACTTATGGGGGATTTATTTTCTTTAACTTTTACTAACCATCATCCCAATTCGCGGGATGATCCTCTACTTACCATGACAACGGGAGTCTTCCCAGCGCGCCATTGTTCGGCCGCAGGTTTGTGGTTTTGCACTTTCTGGCCACAGCCACAGAAGATGATGTGGACCATTGTTTTTTGGAGCCTTGGGCACAAAATTATGCCACTTTCGGAGTTTCCCAAAGTTCTTTTTAGGCATCCCTATTAGAAACATGTGACTGGTGATTTGGGGACATGGTTTGGGTACCCTAATTTTAAGAAGCACTTATAGGTTGGAGTTGGGGTTTCTTTTGGCTCACATGGAGCAGCCCCGAAACTCGAAGAGGACCGATCATGTCCGTTCTTTCCGGCCATCTTAGTTAACTTGGAGTGTGCTTGAAATGAGGTATGCCCCTCACGTGGCAATTTTCATATCTTCCTATTTCAGTGGTGTGTTTTTTTTTCTTGTGTGTGTTTTAGTCCGTCCCATTACATTCCCCATTTCCAAGTGATTTGCCAATGTATTCAATACATATTGATCATTAAAATTTGCTCTATAGAATAGACGTCGTTGTTGGGGTACATGGTTAAAAGTTGTCGTTTACATTGACCCAAACACTAGTGATTAAATAGTGTAGTGTTAACTATATTTTTCTTATTGGTTGAATCAAATTTGGTTTTGGTTAAATCACTGTTTTCAAGAGGTGGCGGCTGAATCCCAAATTGATAGCCTTTTATCCAAATGATTGATCGCCAATTTCACATGTACATCAAATTTCAGTTGCCTATGTATAGCCATGTTTCTGGTATAACAGCATGTTATTGGATATCACCATGTTTGGGGACTGGCTGAAATCCCAAAATTATTGCTTAATTATTTTTTATTTGTTTGAACATTATATCATTTTCTTGGATGTCAGTTTTATATTGAATCCCAAGTTTATTGCTCGATTTTAACGTGACATTTGTTAAACTGTTAAGCTTTACGTTCTGCGTGTTAGATTCGACTTTATATTGCTTGAATATTGTATTTGTTTGGACGTATCTTCTTCTTTATTGTTGAATTCCCCTGCCCCCAATGACACATATTTGATTGAACAATGATGGTCTCCTGTATGTTTTCCTTCAATTCTTTCAAATGACATCATAGTGAGTTGAACTTTCCTATTCAGTATAGAGAGGGATCCACATTGGCATGTTTACTGATTCTCAGTTTTAAGATGTATCTCCTTTGATGTGGGTAACATTAGTTAAGTTATACCCCAATGTTTGATTTCTTTGGTGAGGCGAGAGATCCCCGCAGTTCAGAGTCAACTTGGATCACGCAAAAAGTGTATCCCTAATTCTGGTGATGTTTTCTACTCCATTGTTCATTAAAGAGTCCTGCTACTCCTAACAGTGCCACTCCTAAACGTTGCTACCCTTTCAAAAAAGAGACGACAATTCCAAACAATCTCAAAAAATCAAAAACACACCTTCCAAAAAACTAATCCAACAATTCAAAAAGAATCGAAACTCAAAAACAAAAAAGAATTCAAAAAACCAAAGGTATTTGAGCAACAAACAAGAAAACGAAAAGAACAATTAAACACAAAAACAAAAAGTTCCAAAAAAACAATCCAATATCCAACACAACAAAATAGTTCAAAAACGAAAAATAATAAAACAATAAATAAAATGACAAAAACATAACAAAAACAGCAAAATCAAAATAAATCAAGATAAAATCAAACAAAACCAAGAAAAATAAGAAACAAAACACATTTAAAAAAAAAAAATCAATCACACAACAAATCCAGGAAACAATTTTAAGTTATCAAACTTACTTAAGTAATTCATTGAAATTAGCTCAAAAGTGTGACTGAAAAAACTTTGTTTTCATAATGAAATGGAATTATTTGGAACAAAAATGAACTAGTTGGAATTAAAATGAACGAAAAGGAATGGAATGTTTTAGGAATGTCCCGATAAGGAATGTCCTCTCCATAGAAACGAATTGTTAGTCATGATATACTCATATCACATCATTTCATATTATATATCCCCACGCTGTCCCTCTATTCCCAGCGTTTTCCCATGTTTTTCCGGTGTTTGATCACATAAAACCCATCTTTTTTCCCCTCATATGAAATCATATATTCTTAAGTTTCATTGGTTATAAATTCATAATATCAGATCATATCTCCCCATACTATCCATATATATGCCATATTATGCCATGATATTTCATGCATTTTCATGGATCTCAAAAAGTCTCCCCATATGTTTTCGTGATGTTTTCGTTCAGTTCATGGCCATCATCTTCGGCTTCGCGGTGGTCGTGAAGCCTTTGTTGATCTGCACCTCGCTGATGGCCTTCTGGTTGGCCTCACAGACCTGGAAAGCGGGCGCCGTGACGCAAGAGGCGACCAGGGATGACCAGGGATGACCAGGGCATGGCGATGGGGCCCCATGGGGGCCCATGGATATCATGGGTTATACCCTCTGGTTATGACTAACAGTTCGCCATGGTTTTTCGATGGCCCTAATCGAAATAGATGATTTTCCCATGAAACCTTCATTTATAATGGATTTTCCATGGCTATTTTTAAAGAACCAGATGGTAATATATAATTTGTAATGGGTCATGATGAGATAATAGAGGCTATTATTAATGGTACAATGAGATTTCCTATAGCCATGTTAGTTTTAATGGGAATTACCCTCTGGTTATTTAACATAGCGAACTGGAGAACCACCATTTTTAATAGGTAAATCATCAAAAAACATCTATAATTGGGCCATTGTCAATGGGAATTATATATTAAGAATGGTGATGCAATGTTCCAGGGAATTATGAGGATAGCCCAGGGAATTTGGATTAATAATGGGGAATATATATATATTCAAATAATGTTAATAATGGGAACAGCCCAGGGAATTATATATTCCCTCTGGATTCAAATACCTTCTGAAAGGAAATGTTTGGGGCATAATGTTCTTTAATTTGGAGGGTTAAGTACCTTCTCAGACAGTTTTTGGACCCATAGTCACTAATAATCGGGATGTAATAGTCTAATGACTTATACTTAGGGAATTATCATGGGGTTATTATATAATGACTTACACTTATAATTTCCATTAATGATATTAATTTTGGTAAAACAATGTCATTAACCAACCAAACAAAAGGAATGGTTTATAGAACCTATTTATATTATTTACAGTATGGTGACTTGGGGATGGTTTATGACATTGTTTTACCCACATTCATGGGAATGATAAGGGGTTCTCATGATATAATGAGATTACATTCTATATGTTTGTGGGATTTATATAAGCGGGTTATAACTACAATGGTATGATGGGATTGTAACGGCATTGTAATATATTATTTATATTAATGGGATTATAATGGATTTTGGGTCATAGTGGGTTTACAACGGTATAATTTATAATGGTGTAATGGGATTATAGTGGGTTTATCATGGTATAATTGGATAGCAGTATACATGGATTCTAACTCGGAGAAATTGTGGGTGCCATCAGGGAAACGAAGTGGGATCAGCAGATTAAACCATGGAAACATTTTGGACATTGGGCCATTGGGAGTGACCCTCTGGTAATATAACACTTTGGGAACTGGACTTTTTTCGAAAATGTGGATCACAGCAGCAATGTTGATAGAATTCAAATATCATGTTACCCCAATGGCCATATGGCAATATCATGGGACGACGATACATCATGAAAACATGTGATTTTTTGATTTGATTGGATAGTAATTAATGGGATATACACTCTGGTAATTTTAATTGGTTGCCAAGGAAAAAACATGATGAAAAAACGGTAGATCATCGAACCAAATAGGACCTGCTCCATGCGATGTATTTAACCAAATGGGGTTGAACCGAAAGTAATTAGGCTAACCAAGTTATTAAACGCGTTGTTTCTTTTCTGGGACGGGGCACCAACATTCCCCTGTAGCACCTACATGGTTGGGTTAATAGTTAATGATGGTATATTGATACAGTTACACATATGCTGAAAAGTGGGGGTTTACCTTCAAGTTAGGGCAATGTTCCTAAGGAAAACCTAGTGTACAACTATCAAATAGGGGGGCATCCCATTTTCAATCAAAGCGAACTGGGATTTGACCATCAACCGCTTCGTTTGTTTGTCCATTAATGTTTTGTTTGTTCGTGCAATGAGGCAAAAGCAATGAACAAGAAGGGACTGATATACGAGATACTTCTGTGATACGTATGTAAATAAGTTTTTTCTAAGTTTGGTTTGTAAAATTGAGCATGCCCGTAGTTTGGATCATATTGGTTCATGACCCCCACTTTATCGTTTGCGGCCTTCTAGCGCTGGCCGCTGGCAGATGGTAAGCATGCTCTACATTGCTGACAAGAGGCCCAACACTCTCTCCGCAAAGGACGTTTTTGATGATGGGCGGGTATTGCACAAACCCGCCCGATGGGTTGGTATTGTTGTGGGATATTTATGGTCATGTATGATGAGTATTGATTTTGAATATTCAATGTTCAATGATATTTATGGCCATGTATGGCCATTGTTATTTATGGCAATGTGTTGTGCAGGTATTACCATCTATGGCCATGTGTTTTTACATATTTATGGCCATCTAAAGCACTTTTTTTTCATGATATTTATGCCAATGAACTTGATGATATGGTGATTTGTCATTTTTAATGGCATGTAACATTTTTCAATGGTTGTTCTTTATTTTAACACGGCGATGGTGGCGGGTTCCGTTCATCAGGAGATCGAAAAGTTGGATGAAGATTTTGCCAAAAAACTCCTGGGACTCCAGGATTCAGGAGCCGTTCATATCGGTCGTCATGGGGCATGTCCGCTGGATGGTTTATATATGGAAAATCCCCAACAAAATTTGGGATGATTACTATATCTAGTTGGTGGTTTGGAACATGGAATTTTATGACTTTCCATATATTGGGAATAATGATCCCAACTGATTTTCATATTTTTCAAAAGGGTTAAAACCCCAACCAGTTATATAAATGAGTGAGAAATCAGGATTAATATTAGATGACTAATAATTGTGATGGGACTATACGATGTTGAGGAGAAAACTTGGATTCATAATTAAATGGGTATATATATACTGATGATTATTAAATCATGTAACCCCTTTTTTTATTGGAAACAGTCATTAGTGACTAAATGAAGAAATTTTAGCCTGGTGGAGTGCTGAATTTGTTGGGATTCATCTGGGTTTAAAGCATCGACAATTGAGATATAGCATGAGATACCCTCTGGTAAACTAACATAGCTATTGAAAATGACCATTTATAGTGGAACTACCCATTGAAAATGGTGATTTCCATCGTTATGTTAGTTTACCAGAGGGTAACTGAAAGTTACACCCTGATTGGTGAATTTAAGCAGCAGAATATATGGGATTTAATGAGGAATACATGGGAGTATCATTGATAAATTATGGGTGTTGGGTTGTGAAGCACGGACTCATACTCCCCAACTCATTGTGGATTATGACAGCCCATACCCATAGTAGGGAAATCTACCAACAAACGAAGCTGAGATGGGATAGGAATATTGGGATGCGATTCTGACTGCTTGGTATAACTAGAAACTCTGGTGGTAAAGTCCTCGGGAATGGAATAGGAATATTGGGATGCGATTCTGACTGCTTGGTATAACTAGAAACTCTGGTGGTAAAGTCCTCGGGTCAGATGTTTATTCAGGAAATGTGAAATTATTGCTCCTTTTGGTTGTTTGGTATACAGTATTTGTGTAATTGATATAGGAATGTGTTGCCGTTTCTTGGAACAGTCGTCCGAACATAGCATTACGTATCTACATGTTTGGTGTTTTTCTTGAACAATTCTCCAAAATGTTGCATTACCCTCTGGTAAACTGTCCCATAACTATGGAAAATCACCATGTTATTAGTGGGTAAATCCACTATTTCAATGGGCTAATTATCTAAATTTTACATTTGGATGCTACATGGGTGAGTCAAGCCGATCATCCGATGAACCGGGTCATGACTGATCCATGCGGAGGTTTCCTAAAATTGTTTGGTGCCCTAAATGAATGGTTTTTCTCATGGAAAATCCGATCAACATGGAAATTGGGAGGATATGTGATGAACGGGAATTTCAGGATCCTAGATTGAAGGTACCTACCATATATAAGGCCTATTTTTTAGGCCTATGTAAGCGAATATCCCAACAAATATGGCCTGAAAAATGGTACAGTACCTCCATTTTAGGATCCTGAAATTCCCATTCATCACCTCCCAATTTCCATGTTGATCGGATTTTCCATTATAAACCATTCTTTTCGGGGTACCACCATTTATATCCATTTATGGAAACCCACCATACGGATGAATCGGTTCAATCTTTTCTGCTTGCAGTGACAATTCTGGTTATGGCCCTGGCCATGCCGTCGGGATTGATCAACGATCAAAAACGATGATGTAATCACCGTGTATTTGCTGTTTGTCCTATCTAAGGTATTGAGAACTGGTTGGTGGTTAATGGATATGAATGGCTGGTTGGTGGTTTGGAACATGAATTCGATGATTTTCCATATATTGGGAATGTCATAATCCCAACTGACGAACTCATATTTTTCAGAGGGGGATGTCAACCACCAACCAGAAGGTATTGAGAATATTGAGATCACAATGAATTACATAATTAGTTGATACGTGATTGATGCGTCGGTTCCCGGGCATGGAGTGGGGTTAAATAGGTATACCAGTATAGCCCTATTTGGGATGATTTGGGATGATAAAAGCTCTGGTTCATTGTGATTCATAGTTGGATGATTGGATGATTTTCTAGATGATTAGATAAGTAGATGATTGGATTCAATGGATTGGTTTAACGGAAAAATTGCGGGAAGACGGAAACCCCTATATTCTGATGGGGAAGACCATGCTTTCCGGTTAGGTTTGTCCCTTCAACCAATCCAGTGAAATGGCTAAATGCCACATTTTTTCTGGGAAAATCACCATGTTTAATGGCTAAATCTAGGAACTTTGGCCATGTTCCATGGCTTTTTGTATGTTTTACCGGACCAAAAAGGACCTTTGCAGCGCCAGGACCTGTGTTCTTTGAGGACCACCATGAACCGCTGGAGGACCAGCCCCAGATACAGGCGCTGTGGAGTTGCTGTAAACCAAGGGGAATGGTAACCTAATATGGTTATTTCATGTTATTTAAAGGGATACCAATGGGATATGATATGATGTTGTTATATATATATATATATGGTTATATGTGGTTAGATATGATATTTAATGTTATTTAATATGGTTCGGATGGCTTGTACATGCTTCTTTCATGGAAAATCCCATGAAAATGGATGATTTTGGCCCCTATTTCAAGAAACCTCCATAGATGGGATGGGTGGTGAATTTCTCTCAGTTTTTTTGCTGGCGATATATATGTTGTATTATGTTGTCATATATGTTGTGTTCTTTTTAGATGGCTCGATTTGCGGAAAACAAGGTGTGATGCAAACAATTTGCCAGTGGGTTTCCAAAACAAACACCGTGAGAGGTGGCCACCTTTTAGGGTGCAGCTGGATTCAGCTGGATATTGCAGGGAACAATTTGCCTTTGTGCATAGCCATACGTATGGATATTTCTTGAAGTGGGTAACCCAACAAATTTTGGTTTCAGTGCTCAAATAGTCTAGGGTTGGATGGTTGGGGGGTTCCGCATTTTCAGAACCTGCCATGGAATCATACGTATACCCTCTGGTTATGACTAACATAGCCATGGTATAGATGGCCCATAGAAATAGATGGTTTACCGTTCTTAAAAATAGTGATTTTCCATGGCTATGTTAAATAACCAGATGGTAATTATAATGCATCAGTTGCATATTTCATCAGTAAACCATAGTAGTGAAACTCACCAGGACCCGGCCGGGGAAATTCCACAGTTTCTGAAGTGACCTCAATCCCAAGGGACAAGTGACCCAGGTCATGTTGTTTGTTTGTTTTGTGTGTGTGCGCGTTTTTTCCTCAAAGGTTCGTACATGTTCATACAACAATGTTTTTTTTACTTTGGATTGATTGAAACCAGCGATTTCTAAGTGTGTAGCGTGTGATTTGGAAACAAACATATCCGGGGTCCATGTCAATTGTTCGTCACTAAACCTAGTTTGAGAAATCATCACTAATCTTAGGTTGTTATTGGTCATTTCTGTTTCTGAATCATATCCCCGTTATTGTTGCTGAAATCCTCCAATGAGAGGTATATCCCATGATCTTCTCATTCACATCACTCCAATGATTCGATAGTTAAAGCCATGTTAAAATCACCATTTCTGCAACACAACTCCTCCATGTTTCCCATTTTTTCACCCAGTCCGTCCGTGGCTGATCTGACCAAGGCGAATGTCTCTAGCACCTCTTCTTGGAATGAAGGCCCAGGTAGAGGCCCTGCGCGTACACGATGAGGGTTGATGGGGGGGTAGCGATGGGGTTTGGGAAAATAACATTTCTTTTTGGAATCTTATTTATTATTTGGTATTATTGGGTATTATACCTATTATTCCAATAATGTTTGATATTCCCATGATTTACGGTGTTTCTATTGGGAATAGCAATAGGCTGCAGGATGGATTCTCCATCCACCGGAAATCGGAATCCCAGTTTTAACGGAAAACTCATCGAACTAGAACCGGGGATTTTCCAGGACGTAATGTTTGATACCCCCTGGTAAATTAGCATAGACCCTGAAAATCACCAATTTGTAATGGAAACTAGTCTTCCAACCCCTATCTGCCAGGGTCTATGTTAATATACCAGAGGGTAATACGAAAGATAGAGATAGATATGGGCTTGATATGGGGATAGTATGGGAGTGGCAATGGGAGTAGAATAGGAACACAATGGGAATATCATGTGGCAAACCCAATGCCATAAAAGATACCCTTTTCACCAAGCACTGGGGGTCATTCAAAATAGCGACTGAAACAGGCGGCATTTTTTCCCAATTTCATAAAACTCAAACTTGGGGATGGTGACTATGGCATTGAGTGAATCCCACATTACCCTCCGGTAAACATACAAAAAACGATGGAAAATCACCATGTTCAATGGGTAAACCCACTATTTCTATGGTAATTTTCAATAGCTATGTTGAATTACCAGAGGGTAATGTGATTTGAAGGAGGAAACCAACCATACTGAGGTTTCATTTCATCCAAGTCTGGGAAACCATGATGAGAGATTGATCGATGGAGGGAGAGGAGAGGAGATCATATGTGTTGGAAAAGAACATCAACAGATGGCAACATTCCCTATCAATGGAGGTTTTAGTGGAAAAATAACCTTTGCTTTGGAGGAATTTCCATTGCCATGTTTAATTACCGGACGGTCACTAACAACAGGGGGGTTTGTCCTGGAAAAAATATGTTGATCGAATCGTCCACATGTTTTTTTAGGGGATACCCTCTGGTAATTTAACATAGCTATTGAAAATCACAATTTTTAATGGGTAAATCAGCTATAAATGGCAATTTTCAATAGTTATGTTAGTTTACCAGAGGGTACAATTGAAGATGTTACTGGGACAGGACTTGCAATGTGGGGCGACGAATTGATGGCAATGTTGACAAAAGCCGGGGATATCTCTCAAAACAGAGGTTTCATCAGCAAAAAATGGAAATCGATTAAGAAAACACGGGGTGAACTACCCTCCGGTCATCAAACATAGCACTTGGAAATCCCCCATATAGATGATTTTCCCAGTAAAACCTCCATTTATAGAGGATTTTCCATTGCCACGTTTGATTACCAGATGGTACCTTAAAAAAACGCAACAGCCAAAAAACATCTATGTTTCTATGTGTGATATGTTGCCTTTATCTCGCATTGGCTTTTTTTAATAGAGCTTGTAACCTTAGCAAGAGTTCCAATAGAATCTGCATGAATCTGCAACATGTCCATCAACAATGCTTGGCATTGAACAACACTTTTCATTGTTCCTGTTATTCCATTTCCAAAACAATGGCGGGTAGTCCAAAAAATAGCCTTATAGAGTTTTGCTGGCATTTGTCGACATTTGCATCTCTTGACTCTTGACCTACAACACTGAAGCAATGATTCTATAGTAAAGGATTGACAATCTGAAGGAGAAAGCACAATAGTCTTGCCGAGATACAATGCATGAGATATTGACTTTCAGTACCTGCTGTACCAATGGCCTTCATCGAAACATGTGGGAAGAGGGTCTTTTGACCCTTGTATCCTGGTGTTTTCACCACGATAGCCAGTAAATGGGGGGCCATCGCAGCAAAATATGATACCATATATTCTCTCTCTCTATATATATATATATGAATAATAATATATATAATTATATATAGAGAGATATTTGATCCATACCTATATGATACAATTAGCTGCAGAAATGGCTACGAACTGATTTCTGCAGGCTCAGAGCGAGGTGGCAAGGCTGGGATGGAAGTACCTCTGGGAACCACATAGGCCAAAGTCTCTGGGTAATCTCTCCTGTAATCTACCACGATTTTGGGGGAACCCCGCCAATTAAATGTCAGTCTTAACTGGGGTTGATATGGTTGATGCTTGTGAATAGACAGCTTGCCCATCCTTATCAAACCTCCGGGGGAATAGCTACAGTTGAAGCATGTTCAGACCACACTTTGTTCATCTTTGTTCCAAGATGGGTCTATAACCGCATGTTGTTGGCTGAAAAGTGTCCTAACCTCACCATATGCTGCTAGAATCCGAATCCTTCCTACTTCTCATAACATGTTTTTCCTTTTGTGTATTGTTTCAAATTAGTTAGTTAAAACCTTTCTTTGATTTTCTAAATCATACTAAATCCTATTTGCTGAGTAAATCACACATAATTATTTATAAATCAATCATAAATCAATCCATATTTCCACTGATGAAATCCCCTTAAAATCGGATTTCGGGGTTCACGGCCACGGAACACGAGGCCTCCATGATCGATCGTCTCATTGCAGCGGACCTTCAGGCGGGGGAGGTGAGCAATATATGTAGATATATCTTGGTAATCCCAAAAAGATAGAAACAATGATTTACTATAGTAATTAACAATGATTTACTATAGTAATATATGTAGATATACTTGGTATTCCCTATAGTAATTAAATGTAATTAACTAGTGATGATTTACTATTTTGTTTTGCTGGGTTAGCATACATATATATATATACACGCAGACGTATACTTATGGGTGAATTACTACAACCTCACAACGCGACATTGGTGTGAATTGAGGTTAATGACGGTTAGTGTAACCATTCCAAAATGACCGTAAACATACATGTCGAATATATATATCCGCATACATACACTACGTTGCAATACAATACATTGCGTTACATGCAATAAAATGCAATAATTACGCTACATTACATATAATATCTAAATAGACATATCCATGCATACACACACGTAAATCCATACATGCATAGGGGTGAAGGGCGCAGTCAATATCCATGCATAGATGCTTAAATGCATACATGCAGATATACATACATACATGCATAGATACATACATTCATACATGCATGCATGCATGCATACATACATACATACATAGTGACATTCATCGATTACATAGATACAAATGCATAGGTAAGACATATAGACAGATGGACTGATGGACAGATGGCCAGGTAGACAAACATACAGGTAGACAGACAGGTAGACACACACACACACACTCGCACAGATATATATATATATATATGGTTATGGGGTGGTTTTGGGCCTGTGGTTTTTCAGTGGTTTTCTGGGGGCCTTTCTAGGAAGCTGTTTGAAGTTGCGCGGCAAGCCATATATATATATATATAGACAGACAGACAGACAGGTAGATAGATAGATAGATAGATTGATAGATTGATAGATTGATAGATGCATACATGAATGTTTATGGAATGATATATCAACACGTGGCGCAACCTGCTTCCTGCGCCCGCGCAGGAAGCGACACGACAAAACTTCAAGAAGCGAACTGCGCACCGTGCTGCTCCTGTGGAGGTCAGGGATTTTACCAAGCCACCGGCGCCGACTCTATTGACAGGAATATTATGAGCGTGGAATGCTCAAAAACCCAAACTGAAGCCATATTTTTCATGCACCAAGTATATCAGAATGTTCCTTCAGTGGCTCATGTTGCGGAATGAGAAAATGATCCTCAATGTCCATCGAACAGGGGACCTTGTGTAGGTGCTTCGGTAACTTGTTCAATCGAAAAAGAATGTCTCGATTCGTCCTCCGGTATCTCAAACCCCTGGGCTCACCTGACGTTACAAACCTGTAAAAGTAAACAGAAGTTGCAACTTACCCTCTGGTTATGTGAAAAATAGCTATTGAAAATGACCATTTAGTTCGTGGATTTTCCTGTTAAAAACGGTGATTTTCCATAGCTATGTAAGTTTACCAGAGGGTAAGTTTCGTATAGAATCATGGATTTTCCCCACCTGTTTCCCATACTTTTCATTCGTTTCACTATGTTCCATATCTTTCCGATGAAAAAGCAACATAAAGTAACAAGTTGTTCCTTGCTCCCCAGGAGCAGGGCTACCATGCTGAGGCCTTGGGGGAGTTTGTTGCGTTTTTTGATGTTTTTGTTCCCGCAATCATTGGGATTTTGATTTTGAGAAGCAAAAGTAGGTGCTTGACGTGCAAAACGTGGGATTCAACCTGCAATGATGGGAGTTTGAGTGGACACATGACAAATCACATGAATTTAGCAAGCATAAACGGTGATTTACGGGCGAACATGGTGATTTATCCGGGAACTATCATGGACTTCGTCAAACAACACATGGGATAGTATAATAACTATAACCCCGGGCATTTCATTTTAGCTTGGCTTGCACCTTAACACTGCCAATGCATTGCCGGCCCAGAAAACGATAAGAGTTAAAAACACGACAACGATCTTATACATGCACATCTTCATGAAGCCTGAAGATGGCAACCTGCACAGGTCTCCAAAACGATAGCTCAACGATAACAATAACGACATGAAAAAACGCGAGCGGCTCGGGGTGGATAGCCACCGGTTACCCGGTTTGAGCATATCAGCTTGCCAAGGCCTTTTTTTCTTTGATAAGCGACGGAACATGAAAGGACATGAAAGCAAAATGAAAGGAAATTATATACAATGCAAAATGAAAGGAACATGAGAGGATTTTTTTATGCAACATGAAAGGCGACGAAAGGAAATGAAAACAAAAGATGACATCTGTTGACTGGACTAAGGATGCTTTCACACCCACAGAATGCTGGAAAAATCACACTTCTTGTCTACAGGGAGCTCACCACCTGAGAAAACGATAGGAGTAAAAAAAACGATAACGTGATTTTGGATCATTTAAACATTTAAAAAGATACCGGGTTTTTATACAACCCCACATGGTTAAGACATAATCCCCTTCCCCCAAAAATCCGAAAACACTTGGTCTAGAATTAAAGACAAATTAAAGGTTGCATTACTGTTGCAATTCCTGATTTTTCTGCTGAAAGTACAGGGTTACATGGACGATCTCCGTTGGACTATTCTCAGAGGGGTACGACCGTCCATGACTCGACTGAAGTATTAACGTAATGTTCCGTAGTCCTGGGGCCTGGGGGGATGTTCCGCATTCCTAATTTTGTCCATCTCTTATGAGGGCTGGGTTTCAATATTGAATATATTTGAATATATTATATATTGAATCTGTTCACTTCGGGACACTTCGCCCATGAACATGGGAATAAAAGTATATAAAAGTGATTTTTTGCCGGGGGTTCATGCAGGGGCATTGTGAAGGTGGCCAAGAACCAAGGTTAAGTGGTAATTTTCCTTATTTGGTGGTGACATATCCTGTTCTGTGAGCCAATGCGCCCGTTTGCACGTGTCATTTTGACATCCCACCAGCGAGGTAAGTGGTAGTAATTCGCCCCCCCAAAGATGCCAATGCTTTTGTTGCTTGCACTTCACATGGAGTCACAAGATATCACAATATATTGCTTTGGATGTTCGGGCATATATATATATGTAAATATAATAAAATATATACATATACACATAATATAATATATATATATATGTATGTGTGTGTACCTAATTATATATAATTATATATATATATGTTTAATGTAGGTATAGACATTATAGCCGTTTTTGTTTGTTGCGATGTAGAGTTCAGGAAGGAGGACCTTTTCCACAGGGGATGGAAATCCTGCCAGTTGATAGGTGGATCATGGTTTGCCCTCTGGTAATTCAACATAGCTATTTAACTAACATAGCCATTTAATTATAGTTGATTTAGGCATCAAAAATGTTGTTTGTCCACAGCTATGTTGGTTTACCAGAGGGTATCGAATTTTATTTATAGGGTTTCAATCATCCAAGGTGGTAAATGATTTCGTAGGCATCCACAATGCCTTGCCGTTTGATACAGGCACCAGGTGGTGAGGCTGGGGTTGCGCTTCGAGGGTGGTGATTCTGTGGGACTGTGGCTGAAGGTAGGCCATGCATTTATAGGGGTCACCAAAAAGATAAATACATGTTCTAGATGATATTTCCTCTAATGCTACTAGAGCAATAATAAACCATCCCGCTCCAATTTTACCCCAAATGGCTTGTATAAGCCATCAAAATATCGGTGGTTTATTAGTGCTTTACTAACATTATAATCTGAGGGTTTCCAAATATCCAACGCTTTTATCTATTTTGAGGTTGCTGTATCAGGGCAAGCTAGAGCTACATACAATGATGTGCCTGTAGATATTTGTATTTCGCACTGGGGACAACAAGAAGTGTCAATTCCTGCAAAAAGCTGCAGGAACCCCTTAGGCAAGGCTTGAGAATTGGTTTGTTTTCCTTATTTTGTGACACATTTGAAAATAATATAAATGTACCGTACCTATACGTATACATATTGTAAACATCTCCCATATGCATATCTATGATATTTATATAGATACACATATACATATAATGCAAGTTATACGCAAAATACTTGACATATACATTATATATATAGATATATATGCGAGTGTGTGGGTCACAAGTGTATTAACCCCGTACAGTATTGTTTGTTCTTTTTGTCAAATGTGTATACCAACATATACACACATATATATATATGCAAAAATTACATATAGATACATCCATGGGAAGATAGACATAGAACGGGAGTTTGATAGATAGAAAAGTAGGTAGATGAATTAGATATTTAATTGCCTGTGGCAAGCCCGCCTGCCATAGACAAGTGTCCCCAAGGGAGTTTGATGTGCACTCTAGGCGGAAGCCGGAGAGAGAAGCAGAAGATAAGAAGAAGAAGAGACGAAGACAGAGCCGTAGATCACAAGCAGCTTGACTAGCAAGTGCTTTCATTGACAACCTATTGATCGCATACCAAATGAGTACCGGTCCATCAGTTTAGTACTGTGTTTGTCCTGTGACGAGTACCGGTAGACGACTGTAGTGCTGTAGACTGTTTTGCTAGCTAGCGGCACTACCGTTTTGGTAATTGGGGAAGAGGGAAGGAGTGGGAATGGGAGCAGGAGCGAGAGTAGGAGTGGGAGTAGGAGTAGGAGGGGTAGGATTAGGGTAGTAGTAGTCGTCGTCGTCGTAGTATTAGTAGCAGTTTTCGTCGTCGTCGTCGTCGTCGTCGTAGTAGTAGTAGTAGTAGCAGTCGCAGTAGCAGTAGGAGGAGCAGTAGCAGTAGGAGTAGGAGTAGCAGCAGCAGTAGCAGCAGCAGCAGGTGTTGTTGTCGTTGTTGTTGTTGTTGTTGCTGTTGCTGTTGTTGTGTTGTACTTGTGCTTGTACTTGTACTTGTACTTGTACCTACACTGACACTGACTTACACTTACGCATATGCTTACACTTACACTTATGCTTGTGAAGGGGGGAGGAGAGGGGGGAGGGGTGTGGACACGATTCAGACGAAGCAAAATCGCGTAGCAAGAGAACAAAGATGCAAAGGAACAAGTACAAGCCAAGAACAGAAACAGGCACAACACCTTCCAATCAGACACGCCGGCAGGCTGGCGGATTTTACAGTTCTAATAACCATATTCAAACAAAAATATAAAGAGATATCTATGTGTGTGTGTGAACCCTTTATTAATATAGACATTACAATGTGTCGTTTGATTTTGTGTATTCAAACGCTGAATTATAACTATAAAATCATATGAAGAAAGGTTCCCATGATGTTAAGATGTTCACCATGGATATTCAAACCATGAATAACACGGTAAGCCAAACATCTTAAACCATCCCCAGAATCACGGTGGGATTGAAACCATCCCCAAATGGTAGGCTTATTCCATTCAGTTTCCCACATTATTCCAGTTATGCATGCTTCATGCATTATTGTTATGTTGGTTATTTGCCAATTTTCATTTACCAGTCATTATTTCGCAGTATTCACCATTATTAAACCCTCCAATTTTGTCGTTCCAATGGAGGCCGTGGAGGTGGAGATTGACGCCTTTGACTCCGAGTCCTGGGACGAGTTAAACTCGGAAGATGGCGCCTGGACGTTGAACCACCGTTTCACCATTGAAACTTGGGGATTTAACCGGGGAAAATTGTGATTCACAATGGGTTTATGGTCATTCCACTAGCTGCTAGCTGTTGGTTACTTGGGTTTATGGTGTGTTTGTATATATATATATATGTGTGTGTGTGTGTGTGTAGATATCCAACTACTTAACATGGGGATTCGAAACAAGGTTTACCACTGCAGGGGTGCCATCTTGTATGATTTTTACCTTGCAAAAAGTGGGCTTCCACCAGCAAAAGCCAGGATTCCGCCAGGAAAACATGAGATTTCACTAGCAACTAATAGCTCAACTCAGACTCAGAATCTGTCTCAGTGTTTTTTGGAGGAAAGTAGTTTTCCAAGCCCGTGTTTGCCAGGATTTATCTTTTGATGGATATGTGCCAACAGGCTCCGGGGGTAGGTACCCAACCCATCCCAGTGTTCCTGCTGTGTTTTTTGGCCGTGAGATCGGTCAAGCAGACCACAGCAAAACAGAAAG